CAAGGCTGGCAAGTTGGTGATGGCCACTGCCCCCTCCTGGTGAAGTGACTCAGGATCCCACCTCTGGGCATTGCCAGCTTGTGGTGACCGGTCTCTTCATAGTGGTTTGTTTCCTTGAGCTTTTTCCTTATTCCTAGATGAGGATGCACTCAGGCTAGTGTTTGAGGAGGTGAGTTTTCCCAGGCACATCTATATTTGAGTTAAAATATTCTTCTACTGGCCTTACAGGATTTCTAAGAATAGCCTTATTTTGCTTGAGTTCAAGAAAATATAGTTCTATTGTGAAGATGCCTGGCCAGGATCTGTGCCTCCTGCCCGAAACTCCCACTCAGCCAGCCCAGAGGAGGGGCTGAACCGCCCCGTCACCTTTGCTCCCCTAACTGGAGCTGCCCAGAAGGTCTCTGCCTGGCAGCTGTAGAAGTCTTTCACTGGCCTGCAGGACAGTGCAGAGACAGTAGCAGTCACTCCCTTCCCACCACGAGCTCCAGAAATGCCACGGGAGGTGAGGACGGTGAGTCTGCCCCAGCCCTCTGGTCTTCGCAAGCATTCACCCCTTTCCTTTTCACCTCACTCTCTCCTGCTCTTTCAGAGTCTATTTTTCCCGCACATCTGTCTTCTGTAGCTACTCTGGACTCTATATTGATCCTTCGTCTTTTAAAATTTGATTGCCTTTAACCAGAACATAACTTCGCGAATCTTTCCTAAGCTCCTGGCTGTTCCTAACCATCCTACCATTTCCCTTTTTGCTTATTTTTCCTCTCCAGTCCTGCCCAGGCTTCGTGCCAACCTTTGCATCTCTCTCTCTTCATTTGTGGCGTGTGTATCTATCTTGACCCCTTTATAGCCTTTCTCTTCCTAAGTGTGTGGAATCAAGCAGGAGAAGGAATTAATTTAAGCAGTAAAAAAAAATTGTGAGCCTTTGGTATTAGGAAATTGAGCCATTAGTGTTAGAAAAAATAATCTTAAGTTAAAGGGCCTAAAAATGCATAAAATTGAAATTTAACTGATAACAGGCAAGCCAGTAGGCAAATACTGCTTTTTTGCCTATCATCCCATTTTTCAGTTACATACTGTAAGTAGATCAACTGTTGTCTACAAGTACTTTCTCCATTGGCTTTAAGACTGATATAAATTCTCAAAAACAAACCCAGAAAGGGGCTTTTTTTAGAGGTTCATTTAAAGTCATTGTGGTTGAAAAGGCAATTATGTGCCTCCTGGCAGTTATAGGAGAGTAGTTGTCCCCAAATTGAGCTCCTAGGGACAGATTGACAAAGAGGAATCATTGGTGTGGAAACCTCAGAGCCCAGTGGGGGCCTCCGGGGCCTAGAAGTAAGTTGTTCACCATGACTCAATCCCACTTAGTTTTGGGGCTTCTTGGAAGTCACTGGCACAGAAAGTCCTGCCAAGCTTGGATGTTTGCTGCTTGGGACTGTGAGGGGAACAGGGAGCATGTTGGCTCCATCATGAGCAGGAATCACAAGGTCCCAGCTCAGCTGAGCCCACCGTGGCGTAGTTTTAAAGGACCCCTGGAAAAATGAAGCAGGATTTCAGACAGACAATGTCTACATATCCAGGCAACTTGGAAAGCATTTCAATTAATGTCTGCACTGTGGTGGAAACATATGCTCCATCTGGGCAGCTCTTGTGTATAGAAATAAGAAGTGTGACCCTAATGCCCAACTTCCCCATTCATTGGTAACTGACTTCATACCCACCGACCTTTGTATGGACTTAGCTTGCCGGGAAAGTTTGCAAGTGGTACCAAATGGGAGATACAGCGAGAGTGACTCAGCTTTACTCTTTGTTCCTGAAGACCAGCAGGAGGAAAACTAGAAGTATGGTTTGGGTAACTCAGAAAACTTGCCTTGGTGTCATCACCAAGTTGGGGGTGATGCAGAAAAATAGGGCAAAGGCTTTGAGGACTGGGAGTCCCTCCAGTCAGCACTGCTGGGCTTGACTTGAGTTTCAGAACAACACCTCCCTGCCTCTTCCATAATAAAGACTGTAATGTAGTAGCCACAATTGTTGACAGGATTGAGCTCATGAGACTAGGGGCAGACAACAATAGAACAGATAACCATCCCCACCATAGAGCTTCCAGGGGGCAGAGAGAAGGGGGCTCAGACCTTAAATCCATTCCTGCTGTGTCTCTTTCTCACTGTGGGGCTAAGCACAGATTCCTTAATCTCCCTGGGCCTTAATTTCCTTGTCTATATGGTGAGATATTTATGTATCTTCTAGAGTGGTTTTGCAAGGCTTAGATGAGGTATTAGTAAATTATCAACTGCCACTGGGCACTTAATAATGCGAGCTGCTGTTATTATTCTTTGTAAGTATAGGTAAAATTTCCATTAGATTTGCAAGACATACATAAAAAATTAAAGGAATAAATTGCTTTATTTATCCCCTGGGATGACCCTAATTGCCAAAGTTCAGATGAATGCACACAACTTCAGTTTGTCCTTTCAAAAGTCAATAAACTGAAAACCGTGTATCAGACCCAGATCCTGTGGACACCATGAAGAATGAAGAGCTTGTTCCCTCCCAGATGCCCCTGCCCTGTTACCCCTGGGTGGTTGTGGTTGATTTTCCCACCTACACCAGATGAGAAATAGCTTTAAGCACATTCAGTCACTGAGGTTGCTCTGTTGCCTTCATTCCCCCGTCTTCTCTACTTCTGTTTTTCAAAATACGTAAGTTGTTTCACTCCCTAAGTTGTGCTATTTTTTTCCATCTTCTAAGAACTATTTCTCCTTTTCCAACATCTTCTAGAATTCCACATTTGAATGCTCTAGGGAGAAAGTTTTTTTTTAACATCCTAGGTTTTTTTTTTTAATGTTTGAATATTTATTTATTTATTTATTTATGTATTTTTAGAGTAATTGACCTTATAACCTTGTGATTTTTTTTTAAAGATTTATTTATTTATTTATTTATACAAGCACTGGGTACAGTCAGAAGTGTGGGAGGGTGAGGGAATCAGAGTGGAGAGAGTCAGAGTGGAGAGTAGAGCAGGCAGACCAGAGCCAGAGTGGGGAGCAGAGCAGGCAGAAGGACCGAAGTACACTGCTGAGGGGAGCAGCGGGTGGCAGGAGATGTCTGTGCGCCATGTGGGACCCTCACCCAGTGGCCGGGGATCGAACCAGTGCTGCAGAGGCTGTGGGCAGCTTCGCAAGCCAGCACTCAACCGCTGTGCCACCGGGGAGGCCCTAAATGTTTGAATATTTAAGGCCATTTTCTCCCCATTTGCCTTTTACCTCAAGAGCCTACCTAGTTGTAGTTAGAAATTAACCCATACTTTATCATCTACCAGTAGGCTGCAATTTCTCTATGATTCAAAAATATTTGGGGTTTTGAATTAAAATACTAGGCTGGATTTTAAGCAGTACATGCATGGGTTCTGCAGCTAATTTTCCATCTGACTGTCATTTTACCAATCAGATCCCTGCAGTCAAAGCTGATTTTTTTTTCTTTGACATTATGACATCTTTTCAATACAGTATTCAGAGTTGTGTCAAAAAAAAAAAATCAAAAAAAACAGGCAACATAAATTAGATCAGTACTTCAAAATATTTATGGTTAAATAAGCTTCCTTACTCAGTTTATAACAGGGAAAGACTTGCTATGTTGGTAGAAGGACCTTAAGTCATGTTTAACTTTGATATTGACTGATTCATATCCTTAAAGCAAAAGAGGGAGGGAGAGAGAGAGAAAGAGGGAAGGATCCAGTTGTTACCTGATGCATTTCCTTTATTTCATCTTGAAGAGACCAGCGACAAATAAAAATGGAGAGAGGAGAGGAGGGAATAGGTAGGGGCTATGGGTAGACGCTGTCCAAATTTGAATAATACTTTGCTCAGAATAATATTGTTAACTTTATTTACATTTCATAAAACTTCATGACCTTTTCTGCTCTGATACTTAAAACTATTTGCATAGAGATAAGGACTTGATTAACACTTAATCATTAACATATTATATTGGATTCTTTGACTTACCTTCTCACTTTAGTTCATATGCTTTGTTGGAGTTGTTGTAGAGTTAAGGGAAGGAGTGGGTTCTTTGTTCCATATCTATGAAGTCTGATTCCAGGTCAACAAGAGGTTAGAGACTGGGAAAGGCTGTTCCAGCCCCCAAGTCTTGTTAGAGAAATGCTCTGGAGAGATCCCTGTGGGCGGAATAGCCAAGTAACCAGCATTTTCAGGACAGCCCCAGTTTAGAGAACTGTTCCCTGGGTGTGCCATGAGGGGATCAGATCTTGACTCAGTGCTGCGAGTCTTCGAGCCCCAGTGTTCAGCCTTTTCGGGCTGCTCGGCCCTGGAGGTCCATCTCACACCATGAAAACCCTGTGAGTTTGGTTTGTTTCAGTCACAGTTTAGACACACACCTGGAGCAGCACCTTTGCTGAGCAAACCATATAACCACGTCTGCCACGGGCATGTGTCTTCTAAGGAAGGAAAGAAACCAGGTTGAAGTGGAATCAAAATGAATGATTGGGGGCTTCCTCAAACTGTTTCCTTCGTGGCAGAACCACTTAAAAATTGACTATGGAACCTTAGCATATTAAACGGTCCCAGCAGAGGTGGGGAGCTAGAAACCCCACCTCTGGGCCTCCCCATCCATGTAGTCACAGGCCTTTTTGCACTCATCAGGCTAGACCAGCTGCTTCCAACTCAGCCTGCTGGGAACCCTGGGTTCCAGCTTTGGCTGTAGAAACGAGGACGGTCTTGGGCTTTTTGTCCCCTTGCTTTGCTTGGTGGCAGGTTGGCAGTCACTCCCAGGTGTTGTGAATGAACCCCTGGGCCGCAGGCCTGCGGTCCTCTTTGGTGAGGTGGGCTCCTTTCCAGTGGGGTTTGCTGTGGGGTAGCTTCCAGTGCTTGATCCTCTCCGCGGGCTCCCTGTGTGGCTGGATTCCAGTGCAGGGCTGTGACGGGGACACGTCACTTGGTTCTCTGACCTTAGCCAGATTCCTCCTGATTACACTTTGTTTTGTTCAATAGATGATGATTCAGATCTGTACTCTCCTCGATACTCCTTTTCTGAAGACAGTAAGTGATTTAGAATTTCCTGCTTGTGGGGGAGGAAAGGATGGTGGTGGGTGAGGGAAGACATCTCCCTCTTTTCAGTTTTTATTGGTTTTAAATGTCTTTTGTACGTACTTTCCTTCTCCAGCAAAATCTCCTCTTTCTGTGCCTCGCTCAAAAAGTGAAATGAACTACATTGATGGTGAGAAGGTGGTTAAGAGGTCAGCCACACTTCCCCTTCCGACCCGCTCTTCCTCACTAAAATCTAGCCCAGAAAGGTAAGTGCTCCCTTGTCCACAGTAAGCTTGTGATTTTCAGTTGTCAGTTGTCATACACAACTTTCCAGTAAAGTATAATCTCTCCTCCTGCCACATCAGCAGCTTTGGGCCCAGGAGTTGGAGACCTGATTTGAATCTCTGTTCTGTTGCCTGTTAGCCATGATTTACTCTTCCATATTTCAATGTCCTCATCTGTAAAACGGGGCAAACCTTGCTTTGATAGGGGATGTTTGCAAGGTTAAAATGAGATGATGTGTATAACGTTTCTAGTAATTCCTGGCTCACAGTATGGGCTACACTCATGTTGGCTACAATATCATCACATTTTACCTTTTCTCCTGAGAAATCTTGGCTGTAAGATTTGTTGTGTTTTCATACTCAGCATGCATACTGATGGGCCCCTAGCAGAAAATGTACTTTAAAAGTGAAGCTACACATTTTAACATGTTCATTTATGCAACACATTGTTAAGACAGAAGGCTAGGCTCAGACTGCTTCTCATGATGACATTAGTCATCGCTTATTGCCTGCACTGAATGACTTGATTTTCTCTTATTGAATTCTTATGCACAGTGGAGCCGTCTTCTTAACGCTGTCTGCACTGGGGTCTCATGCATTTCCCAGCTCCATCTCCAACCACTTCTCCACACAAAAAAAGACTAGCCAAACTAAATTTTTCCTTAAATATACACTCAGTTTCATACCTACATACCTTTTCCATCTTCACAGACAAATGAATGCCTGTTTTTAAAGCCCCACACATATTTAAGTGGCATCTACCTGATGAGTTTGATGATTAATTTAAAGGGAGACTGGGCATGCCCGTAAATCCATGACCAGTGCATTCATCAGTATCTCTGTGCAAGATGAGCCAGATGTTATGGAGGAATTCAAGCATAGATTATTCATTGCCCCTGCCATAAAAAAATTAATATAAGTACAGTGTAAAAATGTAATCACTTACATGTATAAAAATTGCTGGCAATATTCAATATCCTGCATCCTCTGGAACCCATCAGGGGATGCCTGCTTCAGTATCTGTGCCCAAGGCTTTGGTGTTAAGTGTGGAATAGGGAAGAACATATGAAAACAGCTAATAACATTTATTGAGTGATTAGTGGGGGCCTGGTGCTCTGCTAAGTGATTCACAGGTACTACCTCATTTAACCCTTCAGATGAGGAAGGTGAGGCAGCCAAAGGTCAAGTGCTTGGCCCAGACCCCCTGGCAGCAAGGACTGGAGCAGAGCTCTCAGCCACAGCTCACTGGCTCCCGAGCTGTGTTCTCTGTCACTGCACTAGCATGAGTGGGAAGCACAGGCATGCTTAGGGTATGAAAGTAGAGCACGGTGAAGGATTTTTCGAGAGCAGGTGTTGTTGCTTCTTTCTCCATCCCTTCTTCTCTTCTCTGCTTCCTGGTGTCCAGTTTTGAGCAGAGAACACCTCAAGCCTTTTATGAAACCAACACAGAGATTTAACTGATTGTTAAAAGCTTCACCCTGAGTCTGATTCTATGCTTCGGATATAAAAAAATTCCTTGATTAGACTATTGTTAGCGAAAGTCAGAGCGTGTCGGATGCCACTTTTCATGAAAATAGCTCTAATAGGATTTTCTTTCTATAGAAACGACTGGGAGCCCCCAGATAAGAAAGTGGATACAAGAAAATACCGTGCAGAGCCCAAAAGCATTTACGAATATCAGCCGGGCAAGTCCTCCGTTCTGAGCAACGAGAAGATGGTAATGTGCTTATTCAAGTTCTTTTGTCTCCCCCTCCATGCTCTTTAATCCAGATGCATTGTGCACTTGGGTTACGTTCTGTCTCCCTTGAGATAGATTTGCTTTGTTTAGAAGACAATGAAGAAAAAATGAAGTATTTTTAACCCTTCTCTTTTTTGCAGTGTTCATAAAATAAGTTCTGCTTTGAAAGAATCCTCTTATTGTGGCTTTGTTGCCTTTTTTGTGCATGATTTTAACTCATTTTAATTTTCCTACTAATGTAAAGATTGATTCTGATGTTGTCTTTATTTAAACATTAACCATTAATTTATCAGGCTTATGACTAACTGGGTTAAAGTCAGTTTTTGTGAGTGACTCTTATATGAAGATGCATCAATTTTGGAGAAGTTGCTACTGTGTCACTAACAGCTAAATAATTATGATATTATGATTTGGAAAAAAAAAAGCCTCAGGATGTTAGATTATGTCTTTTTGGAGTCTCTTTTCTGACAAGTGCAATATTGAGCGCTAATTTCCTATTCAATCTGATTTATGGTTCCCAACAGAAGTTCACCTCTCCAAGCAACTTAGGTGGGGAAAATGGCCTATAAGGGCATAGCAGACACCCAGGGAAAGCAGCCTTTTTTGTAAAACAGGGATTTTTACAAACTGCTTAGTTTCATACCTGCCAATCATATTTCCTTTTATTCACCCCTCATTTGAAAATCTGGTTCAGAATTCTGATCATGGTTAAAGGGATTCTCTCACATTCCATAAACATTGCAGTCCTCCTGCCGTGCCAGCAGGATGGAATTATCATGCTGGGGATTGGTTTTTATTAATCTGCTGTTACCACACTGAGTTCAGAACAAGCAGACCTGAAATGCAGGTTCAAATTATTTTCCCTCCACCTCTTCTGCTCTACATGTTACTAAGGAATAATTGATTTGACTTTTACTGAAATAATAATGCAACATCTTTAAAAGCACTAAGGGATTCATTATTTTAATTAGAGAAAAAGGTCAACAGTTCACAGAAATGCCTTAGAATAGTCATTCTTCAGCATTCACTGCGCATCTGTTATTTTAAGCAAAAAGTTCAAGGAGAAGCAGAGAATTTTGCCTCTGGTTCCCCTCTTCACTGCAGAGTCTCTCTAATGAAGATAATAAACACAGATGATAGCCTTCCATGCAGGTGTGGCTGGAAGGAAAGTAACATTCTTGGGGTATGGTCCTGCCACTTGTATAACAAATGGGGGCACCAGGCCTTCAGGTGTTTTGTTTGGGTGGTATTATTGTTCATAGATGCTCCTTGTTTTTAAGACTTGCCCATTTTCTTAGCTTCCTTTTCTCCCCTCCTTTCCTTGGTTCCTCATATTCTGATCACTATTCAGAACTAGGAAAGAATCAACGTGACTCTGTGTTTCTCATTGACACCATGGTGGTTAAGTATCTCCCATACCATAGTTCTTGGGATCGTTTTTACAGGCCCTGAAAAGTAACACCTCTCTCTCCCCTCTGGGACCCTCTTCATGGTGTTGGGGGGACCATGCCCAGAGATAGCAGACATCATCTGGTGTTCTACACAGGAAGCTCTCTGTGCTGTACCAGGCCCGAAGTAGAACCAATAATTGAGGGCCTTTCACCCAATTTAGCACTGTTATTCCAAAGAGAAAGTTTTCATTTTAGAGAAAAATTTCAGTGAAATCTCCGTTTTTTTCCATGATCTATTCTTCACAGTAGTTGAATTAGTCCTTTATATTTTTTTCCTACTATTTTTGCCACATGATTGCAAAAGTTGGCATGTGAGTTTCAGTGTGAGTTTTGCCTTTTGGGATCCAGTATCTGGTCTGCCAGCATTTCAGGACTTCCCACTGCTGCCACCACACACACATGCACGTGCGTGTGCACGTGCACACACACACATACACACACTTTGTTGCTGCTAACTGTGGAGAATTACGCTAACTAGTGGCAGATGTAGAATCTAAGTCTGCTCTCAGACATGCACAACTCCTTTTGGAAAAAAATAAAACAATGTGCTTATTATCATCGTCAACATTATTTGATAATTTACAGGAGTCATGTCAGCTGTGTAAATGGGCACGTCTACTTGTGAGAAGGCCTGAATATAGACTACAGGCTGCCCTAGACCCATTTTGTCTCTGGACCATCCCAGATGGATGAAACACTGTACTGCCTTCAAATCCCCCCAGGACACTTACAGCCTTAGGACCTGTTCAGCTATTTGGCAAGCTTGTATGAGTTCTTCATAACGACTTAGTCCCCTTCTTATCAGAGCATGAATCCATTTCCTTCTCTTTCAGACTTGGCAGTAGAGATCTGTTGGGCTGTGCCTATTTGGTCAGAATGGCCCTTTTCAAACTTTGTTCATGTATATTCCCTCCAAAGTCCCTAATAACTTCTTTGGCTCAATTCAACAAATATACGGAGAATAACTTTTATGTTCCCAGTCCTGGGACAGATGCTGGGGTCCATGTCCCCATAGGATTAGAGAGAAAAGGATAGGCATTCAAATAATAAAGTGGATACCATATATATTTACATGTACGAAACAAGGGGATTTACCCCACTTGGTTTCTTCCCTCTCCATAGTCACTTTGTATTCCTGCCTGGCTTCTCAAGTTAGGTCACCCCTGTTTTAGCTTGGACTCATCTGCAAAGTTAGTGGGTCTACCACTCCATAGGCAGAGTAGCAGTGAAATATAGTATAATGTAATAAGCATTGGACTAGGAATCAAAAGATTTGAGTTTGAATAAAATTCAGACTCCGCGTTGTTTCTTGGAGCGGGCCATTCAACCTAGCTGAACCTCATTGTTTTCATCAGTAAAGTAGAAGTTTTATCTGGCCTGCCAAATTTGCTGAAGTATTGAGAGGGTCAATACAATAATGTGGGCATGAGACATACGAACATTATGCAGTGCTGTGCAGATCCAATGCCCCATGCAGATTATTGAATTAAAATTGGAAGCTAGTCTCTAGCTCCTGTCCAAGCAGCAGAACTTAGAACAGATATTTTCCTGGCAAGTCACCTGCCCATCCCAAGACTTTTGTCCAGCTGGGACACGTAGCAGAGGACTTAGCTTGGCATTGTGGAACCTGCCTTGCCTGCCATCACAGAGGCCCTGCCACATGTCAGGAAGGCTGTTCTCCATTTGTCCCTCCCACAGCTGGATCTGCAGCTGAGTTATGAATGGTAGAATCAAATGCAGATTTTGTGTGACTATCCTTTTCACTTTGTCTCTGGACCGCTCCAGGACTGAGGCTGCTATTCAGGGCCCAAACTAGTTGACATACCTTCGGATTGAATCCTTAGTGCACTTTTAACCTTAGCAGTAAAATAGTGTGCAAACGACCTTTGCTGAAATGGGTTCATTCTTTCAGGATTGAATACCAAAACAGGCAGGCAGTTTCCTGAAAAATTAAAAAAGCCTAACTTATTCCCAGAGAGCATTTATAAATAGTCTTTTAAAATAATAAACATGACAGGTTTCGTGGAGCCTCATCATATAAGGATCTAGGACATTCTGGTATCTACACTAGCTCTCCTGAATAGCTGTGTCCTTATAAGATATCGCACCTCCTTTTTCTGAATAAATACAGAATCCATTATTTTATATAATTTCTGCTTCCATGGAGAAGGAGCAAGCCTTCTTCAAGACTTAAGCTCTAACTCCCCAAAGACAGTCAGAGGAGGTTTGAATCTGGGTGCAAAGGACACTCAATATACATTTCCCTCTGGTTTCAACTAACTTAGGTTCAGTAAATTTCAATTAGGGGGAAATTCTCTGTCATATCCTCCTGTATTTAAAGCAAAAGTAGAGGACTGCCCTGGTGGCCTAGGGGCTAAGTCTCAGTGCTATCACCGCTACAGCCTGAGTTTGGTCCCCGGACAGAGAGCTGACCCACATGGTGAAGCAGACCTCTCCTTTCTCACCCGCTGCTCCGCTCAGCAATTGTATTTCAGTAGATCCACCTGTTCTGCTCCCCACTCTGTCTCTGGTGAATCCTCTCATCCCCTGCACCGCTGGCCTATACCCCAGTTCTTCTACCCACAAAAAAATTTAAAAAACAAAGCAAAAGTAGAAATAATGGCAAAGAGTCTTCTAAGGATTTTAGAAAGGATTGGCAAAGGTCACTGAGAAATTTTACAGCCATTTCTACAAACTGCAAATGGCCTGTGACCCCAGCCTCGGGACTTGCTGTCTTCCTCCTGTGTTGTAGCCCGAGGGAGTGAAATGCCTTATGTCTTGTTTTACTCAATGGAAAATATGTACATTTTATATTTCATGTCAGAAAATCACCATGTCTCTCATGACTATCGAGGTTTTTGAAACGTACATGTATATGAATTTAATTAAGCTGTGAGCCACTGACACTTTCATCTGATGTGAACATGTCTCTAGTGTATTAAGGGGGAAGCCTGATTTGCTTTCCAGGCATTCACTTTCCAACTAATTATTTCCAGAAATACATGTTATTCCACAGAGCAAAGTACCAGAACTTGATAAATATTTGATTAAATATGAAATCCCATGGAATCAAATGATCAGATTGTGTGAACTACCTCTTAGAGTTATATAAAGGGAGAAATCTAATTTATTTTTGTAACATAACCCAGAAGTTTTTTCCCCCTGTTGTTCTGTTACCTGTCTCGTTCAGCTTTTCCCCTACTTTATTTTCTCCCAGCTCTTTGACATTTGTTAGAACACTAAGTATATTCTGTCTGTATTCATCCCCACGGATGCTTGTTTAAAATGTTTTTTCACTTGTGTCTTCTGTTTTTCCTATGTCATCTTTCACTATACTGTGTGTGGGACATGGTTTCTCACCTACTCATGTGCCATTAAAGATGCAGTATTAACAAACTGGCTTCTATAAAGTATCCATATTTGCATTTATTTTGAAACCCTTAAGGCAGCCTTGCAAATAAGCACTAAAACCGTACTAGTCCATAAAAATTGTTTGCTCTACTCACCTGGCACAGACGGCTAAATGTTTGGTGTGCTCACCAAGTGATTTGCTTGTAACTAATAGTTTTTTGTAAAGAGGAAATAAGGCTTTTCTTTTCTCCCCCAGTGCTGACAATTATTAAGGATGTTGTGCCCACACTGGACGCGTTGTGGAGGGCAGCAGTGTGGTGGAGTTCTCCAAGTGCAGTCCCTTTGCCTTCTGCCTGAGGACTGAGAAAGATTCATTCACTGCGCCCACCTCAGTTTGTTTCTATATATCATCCTCTCCCACCTGTTTCAGCGCCTTGCTGTTGCTGCTGTCAGCCAGAATGGAGGGGTGCTGCTGCTGCTGAGTGCAGTTGCTGTATAAGCCGGGAAACCTCTGCATCTCTACTGGCCTGTTCCTATGTAATCTTTGCATAATGTTATCCTTCTCTCTCTTCCATTTCCCTGTCACCAACCCCTATAGAGTCGGGATATAAGCCCAGAAGAGATAGATTTAAAGAATGAACCTTGGTATAAATTCTTTTCGGAATTGGAGTTTGGGAAACCGGTAAGTTAATAGCTTCAGTGGTTATAGACACCTTTTTAAATGATGCTGTTGATGCATTGTTGCTGCTAAAGAATCACACCTCTGTGGAGGGAATTCAGGAAGTGGAAAGCAGCCGTGTCCGTGGTCAGTAATGGGATTATCTATTCCCACTCCAACCCGTAAGCTTTCCATTGCTTTACTTCACCAAGAAAGGGGCATGAGCTCTGGGGGTATTTGTTGCCAGAAAAGTCCAGAGAGACATGACGAATCGTCACTTATCTTTGCACCTCCCGCCACTAGCAGTAAATATCACCGGTCTGTGGATGGCCTTTTTTCAGCTGTTGGTCCAGTTTCTTGATGAGACAAGCAGGGAAATGCATTACACACCGCAGACAGGCATTGTCATGGCCAAAAGTGACATTTTAAAAAGCACACAAGCAAGGGAAATGCCCAAGTAGGCCAGTGGGCCTCTCTCTGCACATGTGATCCACGAATACAACCCCATTGTGTAGGGAAAGGGTTCTCTGAGTTAGGATAATTGTTCCTAAAATTTGATATGAAAGTTAAGAACGCTAGCAACTTTAGTGTTCAACCAAACATTCTGAAGATTCCCTATAATGTGTCTGAGCTGGATTTGGTACAAACTGATTTTTAGCACTTCAAGGAGGATTTTCTTAGCCCTGCAGCCAAAAGAACACAAAACATAAAGGACCCTCAAGCTCATTTTTCCACTGGAGATGACAGGAAACTAACTTTTAAGCTCCATTTACTTTAAACTCTTTAGATTGTTACAAGTGCAGAGAGAATTAAAATTTTCTATTAGGTGTTTGAGACTTTAAACATTGAATCAGCTCTTGAATCACTGTGGTTTGGGATGATAGTTATATTTGCAGAAAGTTGTTAATTTATTCATTGAGTAAAATGTTAAATTCCATGATGTGTATTTTTCATTAAGTCGAGGACAAAAAGAAATTAAGCAGGTTCTCTAGAACTTCTAATTTGATTTGCTGATGCTGAGCCTTGTTTGAGAATTCAGGCATCTTCTGAGTTAGCAGCACCTGACTTTGGAGCATCCTACTTGTTAGAAACAGGTGTTCCTCACACCTTCTCTCGGCATAGCTGCTAAGCTTTCCTGGGTGAACAGCGCCACCTACTGACCAGTGAGAGAAGCGTCTGCCCAAGGTCTGGCGCTCTCTTTCCAAAGCTGTAGCCTACACTGCACTTCTTTCTCCTCTTTCTTCTCTGCTATTCACCATTCAGATATAGGCAAATATTCCACAGTATCCTAACCTTTTCCTTTTCTTCTTTTTCTAAAAACTTGCTTAATTATCTGGCAGAAAATTTTTTTTGATATGTGAAGTTTCCTCCCCACGCTGCCCGCCCCCCCTCCCAACAAAAAGCAGGATTGGTATATGTAATAATAATAATGCCATATTTTCATCAAGGAAAGCTAAAATTTGAACTTTAAATTACATGTGATAGAGTCTGTGCCAGTGGTTTTTAAAATCCCTTGCAGAATCCACAATTTTCTAGCCACTTCTTCATTTGCCAAATATTAAATTAATTTTACCTGCAAAAATTAGCTTTTAAAAAAAGTTGTGAAGCATTTTTTTTCTAGTTGTGATTGGTGTTTTTCTAAATATATTATTACAAAGAACACTATTTTTGTTAGCAGTACATAGTATTTCAGTCCCTGCATACATTAAATTATACTTTATGTGGATAGCTTGGCTAATTAACCTATTTCTACTGGAAACTGGTTTGAGCACCCATCCAAACTAATGTTGAGAACAGTCTATTTGGATATTGGGACCTTCCCATGATTTGTATGCCTGCCCTATTGCTCTAACTGCCGCTTAATTATTTAAAGACCTCTTTTCTACATGGTCCATACGTTTCTTGCAAGGGCACAAGAGTCCTCCTTAAATAAGACTACTTCATTTTGTAAGACCCTTTAAAGTGATCAAAGATAACACTGGTGAAAGTTGTCAAAATTACTTGCTCAAGGTGCACATTCTGAGGAACAGTTTTAAGAGAGACTGTTCCTTATGGATCAAGCCAGCCTGCTTGGTATCGAGTTGAACCAAGCTGAGGAGCAGATGTGACTTCCAGAAACTGGAGAGAAGATATGGTAGTGAGAAATTTCCTCACTTCTGTCCTACCCCAATTACTCTGGATCCCATAAGAGACGTAAATAAAAGTGGTATGAACCATGGACGTTGTTTTGGAACATTTTTCAGTCATTCAGAAGCAGAGTAAAAGTAAAGCTCTTACCACATCGTGTGGATCATCACTTCTACTTCCCTTCCACACTGACTCAGGACCCAATTCCCCTGAGTGAGTGAAGCCTTCTAGACTTCACTAGAACACCCACTAGAACACCTTTCTTCCTCCACCCTTGCTATTTTAGCAAGATACTGCTTGCAATTGCCTTTAGCTCTAGCAAATTGTTGTAGAATATCAAATAATTCAAGACTCCAGTGACCCTATTTAAGGGAAGATTATTTAAAACCAATACAATGTATAAGCATTGTCCTATTTTTTGCAGAAAATAAGAAAATGTGTAGGGGGTACCTAAGTGATATTTTTTTAAGTCTGCTTCTCTAGATGAATAATAAGTGTATTAAGTGCATGAAGAAAAACGATAATTGTTAGTAGCACTTACTTTGCAAATACACACCTACAGAGATCACCTCACTGACCTGGGTCTAGCAGTGGAGAAGCACTTTGGTGCTCTCCCTCTGCCCCTCACCTCTACAGAAATTGATGTGATTTCTCTAAGTGAGCTCAAGCAATATGTCACAATGCAAACCAGTTTGAATGCTTCCATTGAATTGGTTATAATGAAATTTGCATGGAATTCAAGTTATTCATGATTTCATCTCCTCTGAGGTCACTATATAAGACATGTCAAGTTGAAGTAGGTAGAGCAAGAAGGTCCACTCAGGAAAAAATAAATAAAATAATACCTAGGTGGGATAGTTAATGAAATATCAGGAGGAAAATGTCATTAATTCAATAATTTTTAAAAAAGCCAGGAGTTTCGCTCTATGAGAGGGTCCAGATTTAGAAGTGGCTTGTAACTTCTGAATGTCCTATCCTCTGAACTCCTCCCTCGTTAAACTTACAGTTCTCCCTGCAGACTTCTGTCTAAGGAATGTAGCTCTAATTGCAACATGAAAAGTTAAAGAAGAAAAAATGATACCCTTATACCTACTGCTTAAATTCAAAGTGTAAACTCTTCTTCCTAAGGGAAAAGCGAGGTATATATGCTCTATCACTAGCAGTATTATCGAAGTCCATTAAACTGTTAAAAGGAGATTTTGAGAATTAACTAGTGAAATTGTTATATAGTGCTGTACTTAACATCCATTTGTTCATGGAGTTCATTGCCACAAACCACAGAAAGCACATTTAGATCTACCCTAAATCTCTACATCACACATTTATTAACACATAATGAATTTTACAAGGGGAATGTCTGCTTCAAAAATGTAGCATCTCCAGGGTCAATCTTAGTTTGAAAAGAACGATGAGGAATTTGAAAGTTTCTATTTTTATTTCAATGATGTTAATGCTTTTTTCTCTTATTTCTTCTTCTTCTTCTTTTTTTTTTTTAAGTTTTCAGTATTGGGACTCCAATGATGATTTTACTCTTGAGACATAGAAATAAACTTCCCAGTTAATGTGTGCAGTCCCCAAATTTCTGCAGGGCTCTCCAGACAGCCAGCGTCCCTAGGTGGCCTCCTTAGAAGGCAGAGCCCCATCCTTGACTTTGAGTTCACCTTTCTGTGTTGAGACAGTTCTCCTAGTGTGCCCCTCTTTGTTTGAGCCAGTCTCCATGTTTGTCTTATGTCTTTATGCTCATTTCTTCATTTCCTCCTCTGCTTCCCGTCAGCCTCCCAAAAAGATATGGGATTATACTCCTGGAGACTGCTCTATCCTTCCTAGAGAGGATAGAAAGGTAATTCTGCCGTGCGGCCTCCGTGCTGTGTGTGTGCTCCTAGCCTGGTTAGTGCGAGTGTGTCGTGGGGCTTTTTTCCTTTTATTTTCTTAAACTACTTTTTTTTTAACTTGATAACTATTTTTTTTTTTTTGGCTTGGTGATAAAACATGTTCCAAAGACTCTAAGGCTTATACTAATGTTTAGAGGTTTTTAAAGCAATTGTTTATTCTCCTGATGTAGTATTTGTCGCAGTCACCATTTTCTGAAATGAGTGAAAAATAGGGGTTTCCTGAAAGGTAGGTTTTATGGTATCTGTAGTTCTTCTCTTTAGCAAGTAGAATAGAGTTTGGAGCTCTGGTTTCTTCGGGATTATATTTTCTATGCCTAATGTTGCATTCCGTTTTCCTGTCCTTAACTGATTTCTAGTGAGTTCTTGTGTTTTAGTCATGCCATCTCTGCCTTAGTAAAGTTTAACACTAAAACAGATTCATGTTTCAAACTTAACCTTCCATTCCTCTTCCTTTCCTCTAAACTAAAACATGCTTTCCCATCTTTTCTTTCTTGAACCAGACTAATCTAGAAAAAGATCTCAACCTCTACCAAACAGAGTTAGAGGCAGATTTAGGAAAAATGGAGACGCTTAATAAAGCACCCAGGGCAGACCTGTCACAGGTATTTCCCGATTTTTCTCGTGCCATCCGTTTCTTTTCCAGCTGTTTTGTTTTCTTCTTGGTTCTATGGTTTTCTACGTAGTCGAGGCAATGAATGGTTATGCTGGTTATTCTGAATCTGCATGGCTTTCTGACTCCTGCTTCACCTTCCTCTCCCCACAGCTTCATTTTTGCCTGGATCTCGAGCTTGGCATCTTCCTAAAGGGGGATTTGTCAAACACATGGGGGGTGGCTGGTGCTTTAAACTCCTCCCCTGTCCTCCTTTCTCTTCCTCTGCTTTCAGGGGTGATCCTTTTAAGTTCCCTTCCTTTGCCCCTGTATACCTTCTCTGAATTTTCAAAGAGCCATTTTTGGGGCAATTTCCTTGTTGCCTTTGCAGCCCTGGGAGATACCAACCTCAGAGATCATTTTCAAAGCGCAGCAGCGGTGCTGGGAGTGCCGCTGCGTCCCTGGCACTGGCAGAGTCATAGTATTTGTAATTTGAAAGGTCAGAAAGTTCTCAATGAAAAAAAAAAAATGCACTCCAGAGGCCAGATGATCTGGCCACAAACAAGCATTTGAAACTCAACCTGCACTGTTATTTTTAAAGGGTGCTACATCCGTGTGGTTTTTAAAGGCTATATCAGAAAGAAAGAAAGAGAGTCCAAGGTAAATGGGTTTCTAAGGGGGAAAAAAAATACTAAATGTTTAGATAAATGCTTCCTAGGGCTCCCTGACAAAACAAAGGAGCTACTTCTAAGGAAAGGGTATTTTTATAGAAAATAAAAAAGGAATATAGACGCTGCTGCAGAGGCCAGGAAGGTCCACAGACTGGCAGGAAAAGTGGAAAATATTAATCATGGGATTTTTAAGTAGAACTATGACAAGGAGGGTTGGATACAAAGTCATTTTGGTGCTAGAGACTCAAACCAGGGGAGGGACAACTAAACCAGGGCATGCTGGCAGCAGCCTTTGAGGACTGGATGAGAAAGTCAGACTCCAGCAAACTGCAAGCAGATTGGGGGAGGGGAGTGGAGAAACCAGAGTTCCTGAAGGATGAGGTAGCCATCAGAGGTCAGCAGTTAGGCCCAGGATCCCTTCAGAAATGGGAGGAAGCACAAAAAGGTAAGCAGAGTGCACCCAATAGAGGCAGACAGGTGATGGGTGGGGAAGGTGGGCACCCAGGAAAGAGTGGAACCAGCTGTGGCTGTGCTAGCTCTGAGTGAGAGGAGAGGGCTGCAGGTAGGTACTGAATGAAGCTCAGGCAGGACAGGACGGGGACGCTGAGATTAGAGATGAGTCAAAAAACAAACGGGAAGGGGCACTTTTCAAAGCAGTCTCAAATAGGGCGGGTCTGGAAGGCAGCTAGGGAGCTACTGCATTAACTGCAAATCCCCAGGGGCCGAGACTGCTTCCAGTACCCAGAGCTTTGCCCAGGACACGGCAGGCGTAAAGAAGTATCTGGTGCTCAAATGAATCTTCACATTGTCCTGTTACCTGCTGCCCGTTAGTCTGACAGGTGCTGAGGGAGATTTTTAAGTGGATTTTGCCTTCATGCCCATGACTGCTCACTCACACATAAATAAAGCTCTCCAGCCGTGCCTGTAAGAGCTAAATGAATATGTGCTAATGATATGCTAAATGATAATGCAATCTGCCCCGAGTGCCAGCAGAGAGAGAACTCTGGTGGAAAATCAGGGAAAGCTGCTCACAAGTGGAGCCGAGAAAGGACAGGTGGAACCTAGGGAGGAGGCATCCCTTCGAGGCATGGTGAAGAGCCACGAGTGAGCATGGGTAGGATGCATTAAAGGGATAAAGGAGACAAGCTTAGCTGTTACAGATCATTTGGGGAGGTAATAATACAGATAATTTGGTGGGTTTAGGAAAAAAAGTTGACCTGAGGCTCTAAAAGTATGACTCAAGGGATGGCTTTGCTCTCAAGCCAAGGATGAAGCGAAGGGAGCACCTCCCGCTGGAGGGTGAGGGCAGGCTCGAGGCTGGGTCTGGCAGCCCAGGTGTGGAGAGGTGAGCCCTGTGCTCACGTGCCACCAGCATGGGGGGCGGGGGAGGGTAGAGGTCACATAGGAAAACAGTGGGAATTTTAATTGGCATGAAGAACAAAAAAGTTGAGGGGTACCTCGAGGATTTGGTCAGGCAGCTAAAAGAATAGGGGCTTCGTAAGAAGGATGGGGAGAAAATCGATGTTGAGGTAAGCTGGGATTCATTTTGGCTCGTTGACTTTTGAGGTGTTGGGTATCAAACAGGGAATATCCAACAGACTTAGAAACCTACGGGAACAGCGAACGAGAGAGGGGCTTGCAGAGTCTGCTGGAGCAGCGAGGGGGAAGCCCTGGGAGTAGATGAGTGAAGGAGGATCCTGTTGAGCAAAAGGGATGAGAGATCAACAACCACTGGGGATGTGGGGTGACACTGAACAGGAAAGGGGTGTCAGAGCAAGGACAGTGCAGGGAGGGAGGAGGAAATGGGGGTGACGGAAGGAGAGGAGAAAGACAGAAAAACTTCCTCCAGAGAAGCCCCCAGAAATAAACTCTGAGGCAAAATCAGTGCATTTGGTAACAGACAGGCTTCTAAAAATGTTGGAGGTTGCTGGGTGGGAGCTGGAGTGTGGGAAGAAGAATCAGGCCCTCCACCCCCACCTCTGGCACAGCCCTGGTTGAAGACGGGGTGGTGGAAGGCAGGAAGTGGGTGTTCCCAGCAAGCTCATTAGCGTCCAGCAAAGATGTTTCCAGGTGGGGCCCAGAGCATCATCTTCCAGCTGGAGCCAAGGGTCAGCAAGAGCGGAGAGACCTGTAGGGCACAGGGCTGTGAGGAAGAATACTGAGGTAAGAGCAGGGCCCCCAGGAGGAGAGGAGGGACCTGGACAGAGGGGCCCTCAGAAATGAAAGGAGACAGCAGGTTGAGGGGAAGCGGTTCAGCAGGCAGGCAGGGTGTCTGGTAGCGGAGCCCCAAATGATGGCTGCCTCCCCTCCCTGTCATCTCCTTCCCCCACTTTCACAATCTCTTCCTTTTCTTTGACTGGTATTTTTTTTCCTCCTTCCCCTCCAAGTAGCTCTTCTCCACTGAGCTCATTTTCCTTCAAGTGGTCATTATTAGAGCTAGGAGTGTCCATAAAGTTAACTTTTACATTGATATATTCAACTACCACATTATTTTTAAAACAAATATATTGAACCCTTTGCCTTTTTATTTCTAAAACAACAGACACCCTTAGCTGCATAGCTAGGTTGTTTTTCCTCTGCATGTGCCCCTTGGCTCATTGTTTTCTTCCCTTTGTGGAGTGGCCTGTAATTTTATGTTCCCCGACTCAGACTGAAATGATCAGTAATAGGTGTGTGAAACTGAATTTCTTCCCATTTCCATACTTTTAAAACTGCAAGGATAAGCAAATGATCTCAACAGAGAATGGGCTCTCAAAGTGCATTTTTGTACATCTGTACCGAAAGTGTTGGGTGACCCTTTCTCTGGATGTGGCTTCTGGGGTGCATGAAGGAGTCTGTGGTGGGCTTGGCAGTGGGGCTTGAGGGCTGGGGTGTTGTGCTACCCTCATTTCGAATGCATGTTGTCAAATGGAGGGCCGCCGCCAGGGGCCGGAGATGGAAGATCCATCCCTAAAGCAGGGAAGCCACCTCTTGACCACCACCCCCACCCCTGCCCCACGTGGCTGCAGCCGCCAGAAGGCAAAAGACCAGAGAAGGAGAGAGACCCTGGCCTGACACCCTCCTCCCAAAGACAGAGCCCTGCCTCCCAGAGGCCTCACCTAAAGTGGGAATAGAGAGGGAAGACTTTCTTTGCCCCTGGGCTTAAACATCTAAGTCAAAATAAATCATCTACACTCTTGTTTTGTTTTTTCTTGACATTTACAGAGCTCCGCTGTCAGCCCCGCTCCGGAAATTTCTTCAGAGCCTCCTGGATAGTAAGTGTCACTGTTTACGTGGCTTAATGTATTAAATGTCAGAAATGGGAAGAGGCTTGTGTTTTGGGCGCAAGTGTGTTTTATTTGAAGCAGTCTAGTGGTTTCAGATGATGTGATAAGTAGCGATTTAATTATTTTTCTTTTTAACCGCCTCAAGTTATTTTGTGATGGTTCATATTGCCTTTGTTCAATTTTTTCCTGTGTTGGCATCTTTACGTTCAGAATGTGAGGGTTTTTTTTTTTTTTTTTGTCTTTCTACCCCATTCACTGATTCCTGGGGAGGAGGGGCTGTGACTGAGATAGCCCCATCTTGTGTGAAAGTGAGGGGTGGGTTGGGGAGGAGTCCTTGGTTGGATCTGTCACAGGAAGAGGGGCCTGCGAGGGCACTGGCTTGTCTGATTCTCAGAGATGTGAATTCATTTCCCCATATCAAGTCTCAGATTCTGCCAGGACTGTGCACACCCACCCTCACTTCTTCTGGGGTAAACCCAATCCTTCCCCTCCCCCAGACCATCTGACTCCTCTGCAGATTAACTTTTCTCAGTATTTGGCCACGCAGCTATTATCCCAGCTAAAAACCCGCTCGCACGCCCCCGCATGGTAAATAGCGAGCGTCTCTCTTGTATTAATGGACCCTGCCTCATTCCCAGTCTCATGTTAGCGCCTCTGTGGCACTTCCTTCTGTTGCTGTATACCCGAATTGTATTCCTGTACTCTTATTGCTATTTCTTATGACTGCTAATAAAGCACACTCCTTCAGGGCAAGGATTGCGTCTCTCTAAGGCATCTGTACGGGCACCAATATAGATTGGGACCTTGTTCTGGCAGGATCCTCTCCTTATCACCCTATCTGCATCTCCTCTGAACTAGGACAAGGAGGAAAGGCACAATTAGTGCCTGTTCCTTTGGGGTTGGGTAAATCCACAATGTGTAAAGTTCACCTGTTCAAATAAAAGCCTGACTCAGTCTGAATGCTCATATTTAGGCAGATATTACAGCCATTTGGGCATGTCCTGCCTATCTTGCCAAAGAAAACATTTTGAAAGAGTGGTTTGATTTGAAAGTCCTTCAGCTGGGATTAGAGTATTTCAGAGGGTAGGGACCAAATCTCTAGCTAGATCCACTCTGTTAATTTTTTTCTATATGTATTAATATACCCAGAGGATAAGGAGAAGTCACTCGAGAAGCTGACACAGGATAGTGCTGGAGGACAGATCCATCTTGGAGAAGGCCGAGTGTAACTGCATGTACCCTGGGGTTGTGATTAGCCTCCAATGAGAGTCCTCAAAACTCACACACGAGTCAGTTGGGACCCCTTCTTTTTCTTCCTCCAAGCTGGGATCTGAGACTCACTGTTTTTTATTTTTTTTTTTTAAGATTTTTTAAGTTATGCATACAAGAGCTGGAGTGTGGACCAGAAGCCTCCCTGGTGGTACAAGGGGTAAAGTCTCAGCACTGTGAGGCTCACTGTTTTTAAAGAGCTAGCTGAACCATGACTTCAGCTCCAAGGATGATAACTAGGCCCCCTAGGTCCCAGGAAAGTGTTTTCAGAGGTGAAACTCAGCAGATGACTTCAGGCCATCGGCATATAAAGGACTTCTCTCAGACACAGCTCCAGCGAACTCCTCACTCCTCGGTCCCTGAGGCCACCTGTTCCTTGAGACAAGTGACAAAGCTTATCAGTTCTGTCGTCTGACTGCTTGGGGTCTCTGCACCAGTCTCTCCCTGCCCTTGCTGTTTTCTGGGCTATACAACCCTAACCCTAACCCAGCTGCCTGGCCCCTACCCGGCCTCCCTCCACCTCCCTGCTACCTTGAGTGACTGAATTCTTTAACTCTGCTGGATCTGAAGCACCATGCTAGCTATTACAATGGGAACATAAGATGTAGTCCCTTAATAGTTTGGGGAACAATACATAGATGTTAGTAAATAAATGAACTAAGTAGCAAATAAATGAAGTAGACTATAAGGTTTAAAAGTGTTTAGAAGAGAAAGCAACTCCACAGGCTGTCCAGGTTAGGAGCACAGGTCTTGAATGAAATAATAATTGTAATTTACTGACCACTGACTATGTGCCAGTCCTATGCTTAGCATCGTGTATGTACTTTGCCTCATTTAATCCTCTCAGCATTCCTGGATCAGATGTCGTTTCTGATCACCATTTTTGAGGTGAAGAAATAGACACTAAAGGCAGTGTAACACCAAGTTCCACAACTGGTGTGTGGCAGCATGATAGCCAGAGTACAAAAGTTCTAGTTCAGAGGGCTGATGTCAGCAGTAAACATTGTTTCACCTGGACTTACTGATTCATGCTTCACCTGCAACATACTAATTCAAAATTGTGTAATAAATTAACAGAAAGCATGCTAAGATTTCCTGGGGTTTTTTGAGTAACTAAACAAACAGTGTAAGCAACTATTTGTGTTATTGTGTTAGCAGGACTGAACCGAACTAGTACGAACTGCTTAAAAGAGCATATTGCTTTCAGACACTGGTATTTGTGAATGTGAAGATATTTGATGTGCAATTTACCCAGCATTCTATATCATCAAAATAGGTCTCTGTAGATTCCATTTTTTCAGCCGTAGCCTAGCTCTCATGAAAGACTTGGCAGAGATAAATGAGTTTCCTCTTCCTGCTGTTCAACTATTTGGGGATTTTTCGGTAATTCAGGCTTGGTTTTCTCCCAGTTTGTTCAAATAAGATTTTTCCATATTTGGAATTGGTGAGGAGCCAGCTTATATGCAGTGCCTGACACATAAGGCGAGTACATAATAAATATTTGCTGAGTGAGTACATCTATAAGTCTTCATTAACCACATGGAAACTCCCTTGCACTGAGGCAGGCAACTTGTGAACTGAATCTGGGCCCCTCACTGCATGAGTGGGAATAACCAGCTGAAAGAAACGCTAGCAAGACTTGACTTACCCAAGAACTGAGGAGAGAGAAGCCAGAGATGGCCCAGGTTCAAAAACTTGTCATCATTGGAGAAGTGAGGGTGTTGTTCTGAATTCACTTTCCTAACTTGAACTGCCATTTAGAATTTTATTAACATGATCCTCTCACAACATTAAAATAACCTGGGAATAGAGTGCCGAGTCCTATTATTCCGAATCCTAATGCAACTACCTCTCGTGATATATTTTTTATAGCTGCAACCACAGTGCATGTTCAATTTTGTATTTTACCTCCATACAGTTATCAGAGCCGTAAATCAACAGTTTAGCTGCTCGTTATTTTCACTATTCTCATTTCAGCATTGCTCAACGGTATACATTTTTTGCCTGACCAAAGAGCTTTACTCTTGTTGGCCAGAAGGTGGCACTCAAGGGCAAGCTGCCTTTTCTAAGAGAATGACGGTGCCCTAGAGAAAAACACTTTCCCTTAATCTGACTTAAGGTCAAATCTCAAATCATTACCTGGGGAACCATACGAAATATCAGAGAACCCTCTTGGCCTTAAAATGTGTCCGAAATCTATATGTATGTGGGCATTTAATTTTATAGAGTCATTTATTCCACTGATATTTATGGAGCAAGTAGTGCTAGGCACCAGCCTTGCAAAGATTAATAAAGTGCGTGCCTGCCCTCAGAGGACTCAGCATATAAGGGGGAGACAGACTTGTAAATAACAGAGAATCCAGTGTGGCAAATACAATGATGGAGCCCCAGGAAAGAGGGACCTCTGTTTTTAGAGAGAGGAAAGGAAAGCTGTAGGAGAGCAGAAAGTAAAAAAATGAATAATAGCATATTATAAATACAGAAGATTTTTGCTATGTGTTACAAAAGGCTATAAATGAAACTGCCCTCTCTAGATTGTCTAGACTCCTTCCAAAGCCACAGTTAAGAAGTTCATTTTTTTCCCTCAAAACAACAAATGGTTTTGAACAGTAAACTCCCAAGGTTGGAAATTCTTTGTTTCCTGTCCATTCCCACTTAGCTGAGAGTGCTTGACACTTAGAGGTGTGCGTAATAAATAGTTGTCGAATGAATAAAATGAGCAGTGGAATGACCTGAAATCTTTTTTAGAATATCACTGGCAGTGATTTGCAGAGATGATTGCAGGCAGTAAGGACTGGGATCTGGGGGTGATGGTATGCTTCCTGGAAGTGTGAGTGAGCAGCAGGGGTGTGGTAGTGACACCACACTCCCAAGGGCAAGTGGTTAATGTGAGTTGTGTCAAGGATAGGGAGTAAGCAGGCCCCAGTGACTGATTAGTTTTGGGAACAAGAAGGGGGAGCAGGGTTTGATTGTCTGGGCTTTCTGGCCTGTATGATGGGGGTAAAGGAAAGCTGGGTTTGCTTTGGGACATGGTGGGTTGAAGATGCTAAGGATTGCAGGTGAAGATGTCTAGTAGGCAATTAAGTCTGGAGTTCAAAAGCCATTCTCTCTAGATTACGGTGTGAAGGTGGATTTTTGTTGTTGTACAGTCTCACTGTGCCTATTAGTTTTGCAAATGAGAGGAACATATGGTTTCCAAGTTTTTAAAATGGGCGGGTTTACCTCAGCTGATCACATTCTTTGTCGGAGCAGCCTGCAGGACCCACCCGCGCCTCCCGAGCGCCCGCCCGTTAGCACATTGGAAACAGTTGGCCCTAAGATGATCGCTCTGTTCTCTCACTTTATTCTTCCAGTGAGTATGTTTTTGTTGAATCCTTGTTAAACTCAGCAGCAAACTCTGCGTCTTAGCGGGGGTGAGTTTCCGCAGTGACTCTTCTTGGCTTGCTCCTTCTGAAAACGGACTCCACCAGAATGTTCAGAGCCGAGCTTCTGAACTGAGCCTGTTTGTTAAGGGCTCAGTAGCTGCTAATCCTGACTGGGCTCTTCCAGTCGGCCTGCTGCACCAGGCTGCTTTCCTTGGATCTGTTTGAACATAGCAATGATCCAGCAACTCTGGACCTCCAGCAGATGCCTTCACTCTTGTCCTCAGTTTCCACTTTGATGCAATGGGACAAAGGTATCTGTCCTTCCAGCTGTGGGGATAATAAATTAAAAGCACTGTTCTAGGGCCTCCCTGGTGGCGCATTGGTTAAAGACAGCGCTATCAAGCTATTGCCAGCCATCGCAGCACTAGTTCAATCCTGGGCGGCCAAGGAGCTGACCATGGCACAGCAGACCTCTCCTGTCTCACCCAGTGCCCCTCAACCATGTATTTTCAGCCGGTCTGTCTGTTACGCTTCCAATCTGTCTCTGGTGAATCCTTTCACCCCCACATCTCTGGCTTACATCCCAGTTCTTGTATGCATAAATAAATAGATTTTTTTTTAAAAAAAAAAAACCACTTTTCCAGAACTTTCAGATATGATTTTTAAACAGGAGCACCTCAGGTGCAAAGGGTTACCATCTGAAAAAGCACGTTGGCTTGCTTTTTTCAACTGGCTATATAGCAAATCCTTAGAGAGGTTTCCTGAGTGCTGGTTCATCATTCTGGTGGGAGGGCAGGGGAAAGGGTGCCAACGGGTGGAATTAAGCCAGAACATGTGGTGACCGAGTGGGGTATGAGTTCTGATGACTGGTGAGGTAGAGAGGTGTGAGGTCAGGCAACCTGTGACAGCCGAGAATCATGAGAGAACAAAGTTAAGAGGAAAGAGATCAGGTTGGAAGTTCTGACTGGAGCTGAGGCCCTTCACATGACAGCAAGTTCTTGTAGAAGTGCTTCTCGGTAGAAGTTCACTCTCCAAAGCTAAGGGAATCTGGTTGCCCCAAACCACGGGGAACAGGGCATTAGAGATTGTCCTCACTGAATGCATCTCAGCTGCGGTATCGGTTGATAGGCTAAAGACCATCTATCTGTGCATGAATCTTTTTTTGCATTTGGGGTTGTACAAGGAAATATGGAATTAAACTGAAGGACAAAATCAGAAAATACAACCAAATGAAGAGGATGGACTATGAAGGGAAATTTAGAAAAAGGGTAGATTTTTTTTAATTAGGATCAAAGTGAAAGTCCATTTAAATGAACTTACCTTTATTTAAGTTGGTGTACACGGCCACCACCGCAGGTCACCTCAGGATTCCTGTAGCCCTCTAGCAAGAATCGAGGGCTTTTATCAGTCAGAACCTAGGGGTTGGGAGTAGAGGGAGGAAATCTCCCAGCACCTGCAGGCAGAAGCAGGAATCTGCAAAACTGCATGGGTAGCAGGTCTTGTTTGTGTCTGGCTCTGTGGTGCAGGAGAGGGCACCTCCAGGCTGTGGCTGCCGCGGGCTCTGTTGTAGGGCAGCACGCCACGTAGCAGCTGAGAAACCCGACAGCGCCTGGAGATGGGACTTGAGTTCCAGCTCTTCCATAACTTGCCTCAGTGCCTTACTTCCTTCTCTGAAAATGAAAAAAGTGATCACTGGGTGTCTACCATAGTGTGTCCACCTAGGACTCATGTCAGGTGGTGTGCAGGGGTGTCATTTCATTGTTCCTGTGACTGTGGGGACCAGAGGCTGCTGAAATAGTTCATCGTTGATGGGGTGGGGAGAGGGAATGAAGTGGGTAGTTGTGTTTAAGCAATACAGCTCTGTGTCCCTTATAGACTCAGTGATGGGGCGGTCACACATGGGGGCTCCCTCTTACCATTCCTTAAGTGTTTCTATACACTTGATGGTATCCATAGTGAGATACAGCATGAAGAGACTCCATCGTGCCATGTGTGCATCTTCAGAGATAAAAAATCCATTTGATACAGTAAGCTGACTTCAGCAGGCTTGAAGGGAAACCTGAGTACTTTTGTAAGAAAGGGGCCACTCACTTATCTGAGAGAGAGAGAGAGAGGAGAGAGAGAGAGAGAGACTGAGAGACTGACCATCCGTCATCCATGTGTCTGTGTTTTAGTGGATGAAGGCAGAAACTGGCATTAGGGGAAGGGAGAGGTTCTGTGAGTAAATGCTCTTATTTTTTGCTGTGCCCCACCTCATTCCAAAAGGATTTGTGGTAACTTGCAAAATACCTAGAATTTCAACAAGATAAATATAAACGAAGGATATAAAAGAGCAATAGCTTAGACTTATAATACATGCATAAGAGTCTGAATGATGTAAAATCTGGCTGGGACAATAGGAGCATGTGCAGTCCCAGACTCCGGTTTCACTGGGCACGGATCTTCTGGAGACCCAGGACAGCAAGGCCTTCTCCTTTCAGTGTTGAATTTCTTTCTTTCTCTCTCTCTCTCTTTTTTTTTTTTTTTTTTTTTTTTTTGTGTGTGTGTATGTTTGATTTTAATGCTCCATCAGCCATAGCATTTGTTAAGAATTACCAGAACAATAATCCGACTGGGAGACTTGATGTCACCAGTATTGGGTGGCTACTTGTCAGAGGTTCCTCTCAGCTGCCCCTTCTCACGTGCAGCCACTGGCCCCCCAACCCCATTACTGGGAGGTGCAGGGTCTCCTATTTCCCTCCGCTCTCCCCTCCCCTCAGGGTCTCCTCCCAGCCCTCTCCTTTCCTTCCCTTTTCTCCTTCCTCCTTCCTTTCTCAGCCCACCTGCCTTCCAGTCCCCAGCCTTTCCCTGCCTCCTCCCTCCCCCCATTCCTTCCAGGGGAGATTCTCCCTCCTAGGAGCCCCACTTGCTCCCTGGGCAGAGTTCCTCTAAGCACCAGTGCGGTCTCTTGACTGAGTACTGCACTGTTTGGATGTGATTCCTGGGTATTCAGGGAGCAGTGAGGCTGTCTTGCTGTAGAACCAGGTGTTCCAATACCAGTGCCCTCGAGAAGGGATGGTCCTTGATGAGGTTGCTTAGTGTAAGGGCAGGATGGACACTGAGCAGGTTTTCTAATCCAGCAGACCGGGTAAAGGAGGAGTCAGAGTCCTCAGTGGTTTTTGCAGGTTTTTATTGGGATGACCAGGTACACGGCAGGCAGGAGTGCTGGGGGGCGGGAGGCTGGCAGGCCTCCCAGCCCCCAGCAAGTCTTCGCTCTATCTGGGTTCACCGGTGATCTCTGCTTCTCTCTCGGCTTCTGCTACTTCTTTCTCGGCTTCTCTTTCGGCTCTGCTGCTGCTGGCGTCCCCATGACGCCACCCTTAAAAGGCCAGTCTCTCAGCCCAGGTGTACCCACTCCAGGTGCCCGCCATCAGGCATGCACTCAGGATCACAGGGTTCCCTCATCTATCCTGATGGCGGGAGGGCAGAAAAGCCTGATACCTTTTACCTTACCCTACACTTAGGAAGTGTGTTTCTGTCCTTAGCTGGTTAAGTGTGTTTTAAGAGAAATGTTTAAATTTGTCACTCCTATTCTCTTTTGTTTTTTTTCTTTTCTCTCTCTTAAAATTACACTGTTCTTAGTATATATTCTTCCAACTTCCACGCAGTGAAGAGGGAATCAGATGGGGCTCCTGGGGATCTCGCTGGCTTGGAGAACGAGAGGCAGATTTATAAAAGCGTCTTGGAAGGTGGAGACATTCCTCTCCAGGGCCTGAGTGGGCTCAAGCGACCCTCCAGCTCGGCCTCCACTAAAGGTAACTGGGCAAGGCTGCAGGCCTCTGGCCCGCACACTGTGGTCGTGGTGCCGGCAGCAGGTGAGCCTCGAGCACCTGGGACAAGTTCTGCCTTGTCAGACCCAAGCAGGCCTTTGAGTCCTCTTCTGACCCCCTCTAGTTTCTCACCGGCCATTTTTCTTTCTCGTATTTATAGTTTCCCTTCCTTTGAATCCCACCCTTGCTCTCCCTGAAGCGTCTCTTCTCTCTTTTTGTTCTGAACTCCTTTTCTTAGAAATTAGCTGAGCTGTAGCCTTTCCTAACTCTAGCAGGGTGGCCATTTTTTTCGTTGCATCTTTGCACCTGCTTTGCAGCACAGATTATTTTGCTTCTGGACATCAACTGGAAATTTTTTTTAAAAAGCCCTTATGACAAACGAGCATGTTACCCCTCCTTTTTTTTTTTTTTTTAAGCAGCTTTTGGCTTTAACCTAATGGGTCTATTTATTTATTCTGCATGCTTTCCAGTGGATCGTAAAGGTGGGAATGCTCACATGATTTTTCATCTTCAGTCCATAGCCGAACGGTTAACACTAGCAATGCATTAGGCCCTGTGTGTAAGCACAAGAAACCCCTGTCCGCTGCGAAAGCCTGCATTTCGGAAATCCTTCCCTCCAAATTCAAACCCAGGCTCTCTGCGCCCAGTGCTCTTTTGCAGGAACAGAAGAGTGTTCTGTTGCCATCAGAGAAGGCTCAGAGCTGTGAGAACCTGTGTGTTTCCTCTTCTCTGAACGATGCCAAGAGAGGTCTGCCCTCCAGGTAGGGGGGAGCATCGAGAACCTGCTCATGCGCTCCCGGCGGGATTATGACAGCAAGTCGAGCAGCACCATGAGCCTGCAAGAGTACGGCAGCAGCGCAGGAGGCGGCCCTGCCCGCTCTCGAGAAAGGTTGGCATCCAGTTCTCCATGTTCTACCGGGACATGCACCAGATCAACCGAGCTGGCCTCTTCCCGGGATCTGTCACCTCCTCCAGTGTGCGCGATCTGGCTTCCCACTTTGAAAGGAGCGGCCTGGCGTTGGCCAGGGGTGACCTGGGCCCCAGCCAGGAGGGCTCGGAACACATCCCCAAGCACACCGTCTCCTCCGCATCACAGCTTTTGAGCAGTTGATTCAGCGGTCCGGTCCATGCCATCCCTGGACCTTTCCGGGAGGCTGAGCAAGTCCCCCATGCCGGTGTTGGCCCGGAGCGGCCTGAGCGCAGCCCGCTCGGCTGAGTCCCTCCTCGAGTCGACCAAGCTGCAGCCCAGGGAGATGGATAGGATGAACCCCCGGGGGGTCTACGCCTCCCCCTCGTGCAGCAATATCGTGGACCCCTCCTTGGGCCTCAGGGGCCTCATGCACTCTGAGCCCTCTCTACCTGCTCTGACGACCTTGACCGCTGTTCAACCCTCTCCAGTGACAGCAGAGAGGGCAGCAGTGGCAGTGTCCACGGAGACTTCCCCAAACACCGCCTCAACAAGTGCAAGGGTACCTGCCCGGCTTCATACACCCGCTTCACCACCATCCGCAAGCATGAGCAGCAGCAGAGCCCCCGGCAGCCTGACTGGCGCCTGGATTCCAGAGGGGACAAGAGCACACTCCTCAGGAACATCTACCTAATGAGCCCCCTCCCTTTCCGGTTGAAAAAGCCCCTCCAGCACCAGTCCAGACAGCCTGCCACTGGCGACTTCTCAGGCCCCCCGGAGGGCCAGAAGCCAGACCTCCCAGTCAGCCCACCAGGACGAGCCCGGCTCTCGGGGGAACCCTCAGTTCCCAAACGCCTGTCCTCCCGACACACCATGGCCAGGCTGAGCCGGATCTCAGAACCCCCTCAGCAGAGACCGAGGTCCCGAGGACTGCTTGAGGGCCTTTAATAATGGGAACTCTGTGCCGTTCACAGACCACGGCCTGGACAGGAACAACAACCCACAAAGTGAACTGGGAACGACCCTCGGAGGTGGCATTTTGTGTATTTGCCCAGTCTCACCTCACCTGTCTCTCCACTTTGCTTGCTTTGTCCTCCTCCTGTGTGCCCTTGGTGCTCATTTTCTGGTCCGTCCTTTGTTTTCTGTTTGTTTGGCTTGGCAATTAATCACGGCTCGTAGTGGCTGCTCTTCTTTAAAAACAAACCCCATGTCATTTAGACTAACCACCAAACTCTGTTTCGAAAGAAATTGGCCGTTTAGCTCATCTGAGAAATTTGTTCATTTGAACTCTTGATCCCTTTGCGGTTTGCACCAATCCCAACTCACCCGTGGTTTTTTGAGAGGCAGCCTCTCTCGGTGGCCCTGTGTGTGTGTGATGTACGATGTGTCCCTGTGAGAACCTGCACGCCTCTGAGTAGGGGTACTTTCCAAAGAAGGTCTCGCTCTCTCTCAGACTTGCCTTCAGATTAATTTTCTTTGTATCAAACTAGTTCAAGAGTAAACCCAAAAGGCGGGATGGGGGATTTGGGTGTTTTTGCTTTTGTTTTTTTTTTCCAGAATTTGATTATTGATCATTAGTCAATGACTATAAATGAATGACAATGGATAAGAGGTGAAATCTTTTCCCAGTCTCATGTCCCACTACATTTTGCCTGTTTTAATTCTACTTTGTTGTTTTGAAGATTCAGAATCACCAAGGCATTTTATACCACTGATTATTTGGAATCCACAGAAGAATTTATTCGAAGACGTCATGATGATAAAGAGGTAAATGCCATCTTTAAAAGCTCTTAACTCTTGTGCCAATAAAAACATGAAGGAAGTAGACATTCTAGACAGATCAGAGAGGTGACGTGGCCATGCAATTAGAAGCAAAGATTGGTGTTTTTCGCAAGTGACTTTCACATGATCTAGGCTCAGTCTCTCCTCTTTCAGTCCACTTTTCCAAAAAGTAGGACTGATTTCCCCACAGGCACTGCACTCTCAATGCCAAATGCACCTGGTACCATTGCAGGGGAGTTTTGGAAAGAGGTTGCCCGTCCCTGAATTTAGTGCCTCAGAAGTGGGAGCTGCAGTTTGCTTCACTCTCCTCCTTCCTCCACCTGGGGGGGAGAGGGAGGTTGATATTCTCTAGGGAATACACCTCATGTCTCTCCAGTACTGTCCACCCCTCTGTTGGCACAAAGTACCGTTCAAATTAGGAAGGTTGCAGTTAGAGAAAGAGGAGAATATAAAATAATAATGACCATGATACATTTTATAAAACAACTTGAGGAAAAGAAAAATTCCAGTAAAGGTTGGGTTAACCACCGCCAAGAAACTTCAGGACTTGCACCGTCTCTCCCCAGTGTGTACTGCAGTGATGTTACTAATGGGAAGAAGCTCAGGCTCATGGGGACTTAGGAAGAGGTACTTCTGCTGTCTTCTCAATGGGCAAAGCACAAGCTTCTGTTGTGACACAGCATTCTTGGGAGGCATGTTTTTGGACTATGCATTCCCAGGAGAAAGTACCCAGACTGCAATATCCATTTTCCTATAATGAATTACGAGGTAGAAGAATATCTTTGAAGCTGATGATGGGGCAGGGAGGCTTCATGGGTACACACCTCTGTCCTTTTCCCTGTAAAATCTGAAGCCTTATGTTACTCTCTGTTGAGTGGCTCCACAGTCCACATGTATTTACTTAAGGATTTGAGTTAGGCTGACTTTGAGGACAGCTGGATGGTAATAAGCATCCTGGCCAGATAGTGACACTACAAAAAAGACCAGGGCTCGCCCCCTCTCCAGGTACCTGCACACAGTCTTCAGTAAGACACCTGCACCTATCTGGAAAGAAACCAGAGAAAGCAGAATTTACAGAGTTTTATTTAATAGCAATTGAAAAACTCACAGTGAGTGTCCATCAAGCCACAGAACAGATTCACTTCATCATTGTCACAGAGACAGATACAAGATTCCCAGCTATGTAAGGGTTCCTGTGGTAGGAGGTGACATGATACTTGGGGTTAAACTGGTTAGTACCCAGTGAGGAAAGTTTTGGGATAGACTCCTCGCCTACTACATGGGTGGCCTGTTTTACTTCGATGGTCCAGCAATTGATAGATTTATGGTGCATTCAGAAAATAAGTAGATTGTTTCCTGAATCACACTGACTCACTGATCCTTAAAAATGTGTGTCTTTTCCATGGTTTGTGGCTGCAGTGGTGAAGATGGATTTCTTGAGGTCTGATTCAAGCACTAGGCTGAACCACTTCCACTGATAGTATTTATCCTTCATCAGAGCACAGACAGAGCGTCAGTCTTTCCCATTGTAACGGAACAACACACACTTCCCAGCTAATGGGGTGACAGTTCTGGCATTTTTCTCTGCAAATGTTTTATTATTACCATTGATGATAATGACATGTCAGAAAATGAGACCATGTCGGTCAGTCCTGGGAGGCAGCTGAGTGGTCATCTAGCCAATCCCTTGATCTTATCCAGGAAATGATTGCAACAGGGTAGTGGCTTGCCCAGGCCACCTAACAAGATAACTTATACCAGCGGCAGAGCTGGCAACCTGGGCTCCAGACTCCTGATCCAGTGCCCTTTATGTGACACTGTGTTTTGCAAAGCACTTTCTTATGTCTCCTCATTTTAACTTCACAACAACTTACCTGAGCACTGGAAATCCACAACTGTCTGGTGAGTTGTTACTTTGTTATTTGTAGACTCTGGGGGGAAAAATGGAACAATCATGAGCCCTGGGCTAGCTGTCCCTTGAGGCATTTAATTGCCTGCTGGAAGAAGACTAATGCTTTATTGAGAATGCTAAGAATTACCTGTTCTAATTAATGCTTTCCTACAAAGAATGCTAATCCCAGAAATGTGCGGTTGGTATGGGGTAGGAAAACTTGTTAAAACTTGATTCCAAGGGTCATTTTAAAAGACAGTGAGGCTAGTTGGTAAAATACAACATTATTTACTTGTTATTAAGGTCTTTTAGGGAATAACTATTTTAAAATAACTGTTTACTTAATTAAGGAGAGACTAACTTTCTGAACCTGGTATCACTGTTCAGAGTTTATTTTTCATATTTATATTATACATCATTCCGTTAAACCCAGCTTCATTTCACCTAATGAATACATATTGATAAGTAAAAAGGAACTGATGTTCTCTGTTAATCACATAAATGACTTTTGATGCATCTTCCTGAAAATCTTAAGGCCAGAGGAAGAGCTGGCTGCCTCAGAGGAACGGTGCCTTGTTTTCTGAGATCAGCTTCTCTCTGCCCTCCTGAGCACTTAGCGTAACAGACATAAAAACACAAATATGACCCAGTTACCGTAAACCCCACAAAGTCAAGGCTCATCGGGGGCTTACAGGCCTGATTTGGGCAGGAGGCCTCAGCCACCTGTGGGCCCAGCATGGGAATACACTGTGGGGACTCCTCACTGCCCAAGCGAGTGAGGTAAATAGCACCTAGGCCTCTCCCCGCTCCCAGCATGCATGTGTATGTTCTGATGCCCCTGGGCTCCTGGCCTTTGCTGCCATGTGTCAGGAGGCAGGAGTCTTTTGACTGAGCCAGGGGACAACCTGCAGCTAGTGGAACTGTGTGGAACGCCTCCCTCCCCATGTCCCAGCTTCCCCGTTTTCTCCCTCCCACACAGGCTCGGGAGGGTGGTGACAGCGGAAACTGTACTTGTGGCCATAAAGCCCCTTCCATATGACCTTGACATTTCTCCCTGTTGACCCAGCACCTTTTCCTTAGTGATTTTTGTTGGCAGTTTTGCAATACCCTGTACCAGATGATTCACTGCCCATTTTATGCAATTTCATGGCAGAAACTTTTAGCGGACCAGAGACGGCTTAAGCGCGAGCAAGAAGAGGCCGATATTGCAGCTCGACGCCACACGGGCGTCATTCCGACACACATCAGTTTATCACTAATGAGATTTGGGGACCTCCTCAATATAGACGATACAGCCAAAAGGAAATCTGGGTCAGAGGTCTGTTTTGGTCGTCAATCTGCTGCTTGACCCAAGCAATATTTGCTTCCCTCAGCACTGCCCTCTGTAGGCCAAATTAGTCTTCCAAGCAGCATCTGTCACTCTGGCTTCCTTAGGCTTGCTTTGGCTCCTCTGTGGCTGGTTGGTGGACATGATTCCATTGTGCCCTGTGCTCTGTAAGCTCAGCATGCCTGGCTGTGGGACCGGGGCCTGCTGGCGCATACCTATGCATGCTCGGCGCATCGGCTGCCTTCATGAATCCAGTGCCCTACGTTCTGCATTTTATCATGACACCATGTTGCCTGTGCATTCTGCTTAGAAACCTCATACCTTAGTCCGTGTGCACTGTAGCTATGGCATGGGCAATTCTAAGATTCCTCTTTAAAGAGATGGTTTAGTGAACTATTGTAAAAGTTAGCTAGCGATGCTTTATTTAAACCAATTACACAGGCCCTGAGATTTAGGACACTCATTTTTTTTTTTTTTTTTGAAGGTAGAAATAGGTGTTTTTTTAATGATTACCACCATAGAGATAGCTAACATTTCCACTTTTTTTTTTTCCTACCACCATGCCTTATTCCCTTTGACCTCTCTCGCTTTGCTCTTTTTTTTTTTTTTTTTTTGACTCCATCAAGCACAAAGCTCTTTATTTTATTTTGTTTTTTTAATTTTTTACATCATTCTTTTTTTTTTAATATTAAATTTTATTTTTATATTCCCCCATACAATTGCAAACGCCCCATTCTGACCCAATCTTCCCCTCCCACCCCCACCCCCCAAAAAGTGTCTGGTTCATAGTTTTTTGTTGATTTTGATTTTCACTTTCTTATATTCATTTCCTGGTCCCTTATTTAGTTTTTAGATTCCTGCTATGAGTGAGACCATCTTTAGGACACTCATTTTTGAGATATCAGAGAGCAATACTGCCAGTGGGGATTGTGCAAGGAGTTGAGTGAAATGCTCACTGGTACAGAAGCTTCACTGAAGAATTGTGAAACAGAGTTTTACAGCTAGGATAAGACATGGAGGGTAGAACTCTCTGGGAACATTTCATTTGCCATTTAATTTTGACATTTTCCAGCTGAGATTACGAACCTTAATATTCTAAAAGGAACGAAGAAGCACAAACCTTTGAAGTGATTTATCCAGGCCTTGGCTTCCTGCACTAAGGTCAGCATGTTGAATTCTTGTGCTGGCCCGTGCTAATCTTGCATCAGTGTTTATTTTACCACGTGACCCTTAAGTAGCCCTGCTGAAGATTAACGCCTTTCAGGGAAACTGTGAGTGTCTGGGACTTGGAGTGTCTGGGAGAGTCTGGGGCTAGGAGTGTGACACCTGAGTGTCTTATATAATATTTGAGGATCATAGTAGATTCATATTTGTGTTTCTGTCTTTTGAGTGACAGAGGCACTGCTAGATATTCATCAAAAGAACATAACAAAAAAATGTAATGAGGGAGAGGCAGAAGTTAGCAAGTGTTGCCCAGTTGCCTGGGGAAGACAGCCTCTCATCCCTCTGCATCCCAGCTCTTCCTCA